ACTTAACAACACATAGAGTTCATTACAGCTTTCATACATAACGCTAATATCATACTTGGTGTTAAGCAATATTTGTAAATTTTCACTAGTTTTTATGATAAAGCTAAATTAAGTAAGGATCATTGTCTATATTTAGGTTTCTCTTTCTCACCGCGTGGAGCACGATTCACAGCTAAATTGGCAATCGGACTAGCGTCCAACCAACTGGGTCAAGCACCAGCTCACTCAGCAGTTTGTTTTTGTTTTTTGTTTCGTGTTCATTCCCTGATGATGATCGATGTCAATTCGGTCGAAAGTTAAATTCTTGTAAATAAAACTATTTTCTTGCTTCTCGCGCTGTCAGCCATGCAATCAGAAGATCTATCACCTGCAAGTCATCTATGGATATCGGCATGAGCCTTGAAAGTTATTCCTTGCTCAAACCATTGTTTTTAACCTCATTTGTGTTATAAGTTTATTTAGACTAACTTATTCCACGGTTTATGATATTATTAACGAATTTAACTTGATAATTATTATTGCGTACGGTTATATGAATTGCCTTAATCTTTGTATCACGAAATTCATTGCTACAAAAGTTTGGGACTGCGGTGCCGGTCAACCATGCGATTGACCATAAAATTTTTTTTTCGTATTGATAAACCGTGTTTTATGCTGTTTTCAGCATGAACACCAACGCACGTGCGAAATACTCTCTCTCTCAATAATAACATTTAAAATCTGTTAAATCTTTAAAATCTTTAAAACGCTGAGAAAATGCACGTCCACTGAGCTGACTCGCGTAACGACCTGCCATGTATCAATGAGCCGTATAAATCTGCTGTCCAACCCTATTTGGCATTGGAGAATGATAACAAATTCGTACATTCGGTAGTAGATTTACCAAAATGTTACCCCCACCTTGACAGAAAAAAATCGATCATATTCGCATGTAAAAATTCGATCCCTGTCGAGTCACCTACAAACTGTACCCATTAATAGTCACATCCGTTAAAACTATATACAGCTATTACAAGGTCGCCAAATAATGCGCGACCAGATATGACAACTGCTGCTTACCATACTGACGACCGGTGCGACGTCGATCATTGAATCTTGTTGTTCCTGTGAAACTGGCGCCACAATGAAGGTAATTTCGCCCGTCATATTACCCTAAAGCAGCGTCCCTGTGTACTTGAAGGAAACTGAAGAGGACATGAATTACTCACCAGAAGGTCGCAAACCTCGTTCACCGATTTCCCTCGCATATCGATGCCGTTGACCTCAATGATTTCGTCCCCTTCTGAAAGTAGTTTCGACTTCTCTGCAACGCCCCCTCGCACTATTCGCCCAATCACAATCGCCTCTCCACTGTTCTTGACGGTCGCGCCCTGAAAAACCACGGTTATCAGTTTGTATGAGTTCAAAGGATACTCTACTGCTTCAAATCGACCATAAAATCGAAAGTACCTAATGATTAATTGAACCAGTAAGGTTTAAGATGACAGACTGTTTAGAAAATGGGACCATCGATGGTTCATTAAGACAGTGAACTCATTCAATAACGCATACATTACAAAGTAGCATTCAATGTGTAATTTACACTTTTGTTGTCTGGGACAATCGCTTTGAGACGACTGTGCAAACAGGATGTCTCTGATTTGTGATGTAGCATATTCTTAGATTCTCAATACTTACTACAAAACACGGCTACCGTTGCATAAAACAATCAGAGGGAGTACAGCTGCGGATAATAAGCAGCTACCAAGAGAATCAAGACGAATCGCAACCTTATGAGACGTTCGAATCAGACATCATGGTCATATGCTTCGTACGCTCTACGCATAACCAAACTGGAACTCCATGCAAGGGCTAGATGCGACTACGCTGTGTAAATCTGGAAAGGACTAAATTGGATTCGTCGAAATATTGTTCTTCGATCACTAAAGAAAATTCACTGGAAATGACGGTAAATTATGTTATTATTCAATGAAAAATTTCCAAGACTATAATTCAAAAAAAAAAGCAACATAAGTAAATGAGTTAAATGCCTACCAGAGGCAAATCGCCGTCCTTCGTCAACTTAACCACCTTCAAATTCGCTCCGACTCCTCCACAGCTTAAAGAGCTCTCTTTCAGTTCCGACCATCTGGCTGGGTTGTAGGAACTGGTGCTGGCTTCAACCTCCATCCAAAGACGAGCTGAAAGAAATTAAGAATGACTTCCAACTAAGAATGCAATTTCGTGAAACAAACAGTTTATGGTCAGACTGAACAGGTATAATGGTGTAGAACAAGCGATACCCGCGATCTGACTGATGCACTAATGCTTTGGGATGAGAAATAAAGATCACTTTCCACAAAAATCTGCCTGTACCTCGCCTCTGTCAGGTTCGAGTTGTTGCATGGCATGGAGACAGTTGTTCTGACAAAGGAGTAAGAATGAATTTTGAACTACGTGCATTATCGTTGGCCTCGACGCATAGTGAGGGCTAAATGGCAAGACCACCTGAGGACTATATTCTATTCACAGCATAATATGCGCCATAGTAGATAGGAAGATCAAGAAAAGGTGGTTAGCTGGCTATGTTGGACAAGCTTAGTGAAAGTAGACCATTTATTGAACTTTTGCTGTTGAAGTTGAAAACTGGCAGACGTCAACCAAGAGGCGACAATGCAATAAGGATTAAAAACTGGAGGCAGATTTGCTTTCAGAAAGGAATATTTCCTGCTAGGATACAGTAACCGGTGCCCCACTGCAAAAATATTGAAAAATTGAGAATACAGTGGAACATACAAACAACAGATATACGGCTTATACCAAGATGACTTTGTCAATGAACAAACAACAGCAGAATTCATCGACGTCTGGAAGGAAGAGGCTGCTGGTCTTTAAACATTTTATTTTTTCATTAGCCAATCAATTTCTTTTCATAGATTAGACATATTTATGATTTTATTAAAGCAATAAAAGTAGTGAACTATTTCTCTTTACCAGCATTTTCATTATGAGGTGGGTAAATAGTGTTCGCAAACCAGTTTCTATTGAACTCGAACCGACCAGCTGCTTTGCTGACTTTTTGCTTCCCGGAAAATCGTTTCAAGCGAATACAAATCGCCGGTATGTCGTGTTCGACTGGTCAGCTGAGCAATAACAGACGTTCGGCGTCGTTTTGACACAAACGTAGCACCATCTCAAAGAAAGTAGCGACTGATGCAGCCAAAAATGGTGGCTGATTTGGTACGCTTGTTTTCTGTGAAAGCAATATCAACCCAGCAGCATAAACGGGATCTACGTTCGAAAGAATTCTGTGTAATTATCAAAATTATGAGTCGGTGCCAATGAGACCAGTTATAATCGATTATTGACAACCCTCTCGGAGAGAGAACAATGACCAACGTACAGGATTGCACGACAGGGCGAAATATGTGAGGTGTACGATCAAGAGCAGTCATAGCAACCAACGGAAGCTTGCCGCGAACCAAGAAACAGTCGGGTCGAATAACGAAGCAGTAGCCACCAGAGCTGAAAAATCTCTTTATGCAACTGGAAGCAACTCCATTTAGGAGAATGACACTCCGCATAAAAAATTCCAGAGAGAAATACTGTGCAACACCGTCTATATTAATCCCGAAGTAAAATCTGGTGAAGCCTTTTCACCATGCTCTTCAACTTCTAGGCGGAGGAGACAGACTTGTAGGCAAAACGGACAGAAGAACCGGATAATATCGTATCTACGACTTGAGTAAATATAATATTCTGCAAGCCAATTAGATAATCAAATCAGACAATCCAGTTTTATAACACTTTCCACATTGTATGTCATGTCCTCATTGTTCTGACAATAATGGATTTTGAAAACCGATGAATAACACCACAGATAAGGTCTTTTGATATGATACAACTATTAAGGTAAAAACAAAGTTTTACCTATCTGATCGTGTGCTTGTAATAGCGCTTTCATTTCTGGAAGTTCCAAAAGAGACCGTAAGTCAGCTGCAGCCGCGGATAAAGAAGTTTCCAATTCATGGAGAACCTGAAATATTATTAACATATTACAGTGAAAGGTCCACTGGTTATATGAACTGAATATTCACTACATGTATGGGATTGGGTTGGGAGCGATGAACGTCGTCGTCGAAAGCAAATATATTTATATATGGCCTATATATATATATATCTTATTTCGTTATAACAGGTCGAGAAATGGGTAGCAAGCTTCTGACTAGAGAACAGCATAACAACATGGTGTTCTGGGGTGGTCATGCCAGAATAAGAGAGAGGCATAGCCATGTTATCTGATGGGAGCACCTAATGAGACTGCAATTCTCTTAGCCCTACTTGACAGCTGACGATGCAGGCTCACGAGTCCAGACATATTAAAGATGAAATATCTTATCGTCGTGGCATCATCTTGCTGAAAGACCCATAAATACTCTAATAATGAAGTGTAATAATTGTATTTATACGAAAACGCAAAGTTACAAATATGAATGAAACGACAAATGTAGGCGAAAAAACTAAACACAGTATGCACCTAAGAATCTAGCTGTCTTCGACTTACTTCTTTCACACAGCGTCCGTTCAACGTTCCAGAATGTTTTTTAAAAGAGTAGTTTTCGGAATGCGATTTTTTAATATGAAACTTTTTAGTCCGAGACATTTTTTGAAAAAAGAACTATCCAATGTTAACCTTAATCCAGAAACAATAAAGTTTTTGTAATGATGCAGGAAGAAAAAATGTATTCATTAAAATAGAGCAGTCGGTGAGAAACTGACAAAAGACACGGTGTTCGCCGCCGTTTGACTCAGATATTATAACATCGTCTGGCAAAAATTTTTTACCAATTATTTACCATTTATCAACGCACAATTTGCTGGAAGCAACAGTAAGACGAGGAAAATTTTGAACGTGTGGAAACATACCATTTCCGCACAATCCTTGGC